GGTACATGGACCCTTAGGGATAGGGCCTCAGCTCAAGGGTTTCGGTTTTTTGGTTGAAGCTTTCTGTGAAGCTACGAGGATGGCACACCCTAAGCCCTAGACGCACACCACCCCAAGCATGCTTGGTGCGACGTGCTTTGGTGAGCTGTATTCCCCGCGGCATCATCCGTCAGCCCACGAAACCCTCTCCATCAAAAACAGCACACCTTCTCGATTCTATCCGGATCTTTCCAGAACCCAGCTGGAGTCAACAGGTACATTGAACACATCTTGAAATGCGCAACCTCGGAGGACGAAAACAGGAATAGCAAACCGATCCAACCGGACGATGTTTGTGGGTTTGCAACTATGCGTCGAAATCCTACTCGTGTTCAGGCGAGTCCAAACTCTGAAACTCTGAAACGCTCAAAACAGCTTGTGCTGACCCAACGAAGGCAGGGGGGGAGGGCGCATTTTCGGGGAAGGGCGCGTTTCGCGCCGAAACCAGGGGTAGTTAGCTACAACTATTTCTCGAGGCTGCGAGAACCTTTGTTGCAAAGTTAAGGTTCTTCCAGACCCGAAACCTTATCAGATGCCATTCTGTTAGAGTACACACATACTATAGTACTCGAATATACTACAATATACTGTAATATGCTATAAAAATACTATATTATAATGTAAGTAAGCTATGACAGACTACAAAAAACTCATAGTTACCTCTGGACCCTTGCATTTCCACTCGACTCTAAGTTCCGCCTGGAGAAGAGCTCCAGCTGCTATCTCAAACCCAAGGCCGAAAGGCCTATCATATTATCTATGTTCTTATATGATAATGTCTTAATTATACTGTAAAGTGTATTCAAACATATTGTAGGATTTTGTCTTTTACTATACTATATTATACTATATTCTCTTAAACTAATATACTGTAGCGTCTTGTATTTGCTGTACTATGTTATACTGTATTGTAGTACGTATTGCATCATGTCAGAATATTCCCCTCAACCTCAAACCCTAAACCCTAAACCCTAAACCCTAAACCCTAAACCCTAAACCCTAAACCCAGAATATTCCTCTCAACCTCAAACCCAAGGGCCGAGAGGCATCGAGATGGAATGAAATCGCTCTACAGCAGAGGGTGCGAGGCCCATCATGGAGCTTCGCCTCGACAGACCAGGGTTTAGGGTTCAGGGTTTAGGGTTTAGGGTTTAGGGTTTAGGGTTTAGGGTTTAGGGGTTTAGGGTTTATGGGGTTGTTTTCGGGGTTGTGCAGGCTGTGTTTGGGTTCTTTCCGGGATTAAGAAAGGGGGGAAGAAAAAACCACGGGATGTTGGAAGTAGGTTGTATATTGGGGGTGTAGTACTTAGCATTCCCGATTGTGGTTACGCCACTTCTTACACTGATTGTGTTTATTTGCAGACTACTTTAACTGCTGACCCAGTCTTCAGGAAACTTCTTCTTGTGTTCCGACACAGACGGTCTGGGGGTGTGTGCACAGATGCAAAGCCGAATGCAAACAGAAAAGGGTGAAAGTCATGAGATGGGGGAGAGGCCTATCAGACCTAAACCCTAAACCCTAAACCCAAAACCCTAAACCCTAAACCCTAAACCCTAAACCGGCCTATCAGCCCTGTCCACTGCCGATCGAGTGGCTTTCGATCTCCGAAGTAGGTGCTGCTCTCTCGTTCTACGGCATTTCGAATGACCTGCAGGACTTAGGGTGTGCTGGTTCGGTTTAGGGTTCAGGGTTTAGGGTTTAGGGTTTAGGGTTTAGGGTTCTCCAGGCAGCAACTCTTGATATGTGGTGAAGACCTCTAGTTACTACTGTTGATGATAGAAATCCTGCATTACCTTAAGGACCCGAAAGCATGGCAATTATGGCATATTCCTTATTATGGGTCGTGCAGGATTTATATCATCAACCGTAGTTCTGAGGGCAGGGGCGAAATGCGTCTTGAGAGATGCCTCAGGTGCCGCAGATCATTTGCGCTGTCAGCGATGACAAATATCTTCACGAAGCCCGGGCTTTGGATCTTTGAGACTTTCAACAGTTGGGTTGGAAGGTACTTAGACCCAGACATCGAAACGTCATCGCATGAATCAGAACAAGAAAAGTCGTGGGCCAGGTATTTTGAAATACTGGGTACGCTGTGACGGCCTTTAGTTTTTGTTCGACGAGGCTTTGGCTCAGGGCCTAGGGCACTCGATTTTCTGGCAGACTACAAAACTCGAAACACCAGTGCCTGAAGCATGTAACAAACAACCCTAAACCCAAAGCCCTCAAGTAACAACCCTAAGCCAAAAGAGCCCTAAAGCCTCAACCCTACACAAAAGAGCCCTAAAGCCTACCCTAAAGCAAAGAGCCCTAAAGCCAAAGCCTAAACCGAGCCCTGAACCTTAAAACGACCTCTAAACTCTACGGCCCCAGACCTGAGTTCTCGTCCGGGAAGGACTACAACCCTAAGGATCCACGTACGCCATTAGTATACAGGGCTTAGGGTTTAGGGGTATATACTTTGGCATGTCATCTACTGCATATGCTTTAGGATAACAAATTAAGTTTAGTTCCGAGCGAACCCGTTCTGAGTTTAGGGCTTCGCTACACAATTGCTATAGCTTCCGTGGTCGGTCAGGGCAACCTGAAAGAAGCGGGAACCTGCGTGAAAGCCTCTAAATATACTCTATGACAGTTGTAATGTGTCCGATGAGCGTGCTAGATGGGATCGTGCAAGAGGTTGGGCAGCAAGGGCTCTGAACCGGAAACCCGACACCATCACATACCCACACCAAACCCTAAACCCTAAACCCTAAACCCTAAACCCTAAACCCTAAACCCTATAAACCCCAAACCTTAACCAGCTTTGCCTGGACCCCGAAGCCTCCAGCCGGATTCGATTGTAAACCCTTGAGGGTTTTGCCTCTTCCTCTTCGGACAGTTTTTTCTTTTTTTTTATCAGGCTTGTGATGTAGGAACCTGATTAAGAAACCTTTATTCGGGTTCTTACTATGAACTCGAATATATTGGGGTTATAGGGCTAAGGCTTCTTAATCAGGTTCCTACATTAGTCCCTAAACCCTAAACCCTAAACCCTAAATCCTAAACCCTAAACCCTAAACCCTAAATCCTAAACCCTAAACCTTTGGATGGCAGTGGCTTCCGGTGTTGTATCGAAGAGATTCAAGGAAGGCCAGGTCCCGGAAGCCGTTTTAAGCCGTAAACCACCTGCCTTAGGGACGAAATGAACCCTGAAAGGGTTTAAGGTTCATATACCACATAGGGTTTCATAGTACAAAAGTATGGTTTAGGGTTTAGGATTTAGGGTTTAAGGTTCAAAAAACCATATAAGGTTTCATAGTATGAGGGTATAGGGCCTCTACTTTTAAGGGTCGTTTCGTCTTTAAGGTGTCCAGAACCAGCCCGACACCCGAAGGGCGCCATGCCTACCTACGAGCGACCCCTCCAGCTCAAAACGTTGGGGTCTTCACTGTTTTAAATTGAACCATGACCACTCCACAACCAGATGGTCAAATAAACCCGATTTACACTAAAACCTTGTGAAGTGCAGCAAACCCTGTTGTGAAATGTACCAGGGTTACTCTACACCATACGGGCAAGTCCTCGACCGCTAAAGTGAAGCTTCGACGCCTCCGTCGCCACGTTGTGCGTCGCGAGGCCGGACTCGCAGTGCGGATGCTTTCCCACCTTAGTTTCACGTCAACCCAAAACCCTAAACCCTAAACCCTAAACCCTAAACCCTAAACTTGGCTTGCATGTGGGGATCGAGGGCGTCAGAGTTTACGCTATGCCTTGCACGGAAAGAGCCATCGTTCTGGCTGTGCAGGAGGATTTTGCCGCGCTGCGCGGCGTTCATTCATTCGATCTAACTCTTATGAACACCCTGGCAACACAACTTACAGCTGTTTCCGCATGATTGGCCATGAATCTTCATGCAAGGGTCTACATGAATCCCTGAAGCCGGAAGCCTAAATACCCTAAGCCCAAACTGAAATCCCTCAAGGCCCTGCCCTACACACACACACACACCTAACCCTAAACCCTAAACCCTGAGCCCTTTTACGTTCATGGAAACGGCGGATTTGAGTCTGGCTTTTGATAAAACCTCTTCTGCTTAGAGGCTTTCAGCCTTTCTTTGAAGATGATTATTTGGTAGCTAGACGTAAAACTTCCAGCACCTCATTTTTGCTCATGACTAACCGTGGCTCAAATCCAACTGGAGACATTTCAAGCACTTTTGTGACTCGGTGGCAAGAACTTGAACCCCGCATTCGAAATGAACAATCTCCACACCTCCAACCCCAACATGCGTCGTCCGTAAACAGAAAATCACCAAAAGCGCAGGAGACACACATCCTAACCAACCATGAACCCTGCGCGCCAGACCCTCACCATAATCCCTGAATCCTAGAAGCCTCGAGAATCCGAAACTCAACAAAGCTAGACCTTGAGTACTGCAACCCCCAAACACCAAACCTTAGACTAAAAAAGCTAAGGCGTATAAAAAATAGAAGCGCAACAGAACCCTTGTCGGAAACCTTCCCTGAAAGTATTGGCGCCTCACTAAGCCCTAAACCCTATCCGACCCTACACCCTACTTATAGGAACCCTATAAAGCCTAAATTTTAAACCCCTTATGTAGGGGCCTTAATAATCAGCATAGGGTTTTGGGGCATATATACTGTAATCATAATCAGGAACCCCCCCAAAAAAAAAAACAGTACAGGTAATCATTACCCTAAACCCTAAACCCTATGTTATTGCAGCAACCCGGAGGAGCCCCTTGGCTAGGATCCCCTCCGTGCTAAGTCTTCGGCCAGAAGAGGTTTGAGGATGATCGCTCGGAACTGGCGTGATTTCTGGAGCATAGGGTTTGGGGCTGTAACCCTAAGGGTCCATGTACTCATATTGTATATACATTGGCCCCAAAGTACCTATATAGGGACTACTTTAAGGCCGACGTATATACTATTTGGGCACATGGACCCTTAGGGTAAGGCTTTGGGCGTATTTAAGGCTGGGAGATTTGGGATTTCTAGAGCTGGTGAGCTTAGTTTCGAAGGTTAATGTTAAGGGTTTAGGGTTTAGGGTTTCGGGTTTACCCTAAACCCTAAACCCTAAACCCTAAACCCTAAACCCTAAACCCTAAACCCTAAACCCTAAACCCTTTCGGGTTTAGGGTTTTGTGTTAAGGGTTGAGGAGCTTATGGCTTTCAATGTGTTTAAGGCTTACGCTTTCGTGGGCTTAAGGTTTGCAGCTGTAGGGCATCTTTAGGATATGGGGGCTTGTTTAGGATTGGACAGGCTTTGCTTGTAACACCCTAAACCCTAAACCCTAAACCCTAAAACCCTAAACCCCTGAACCTCTAAACCCTAAACTCTAAACCCCAAAGGTGAAGGGCCAGCTTACGGTTCAGGGTTGTTTGCGCATGCTCTTCGCAGGCTGTGAGTGTCCATTTGGGTTTAGGGTTCAGGATTTAGGGTTTAGGGTTTAGGGCTTTCTGCCTGGGCTGATGCTTGGATCATATGAAAGTCTGAGCCATTACCAATAGCAGCAGCAATCCTCAGAGTTGCTTAGTATATGGGTGGTTGTCAAAACTATGGTCCCCTTGGGTCCGTATTAGAATACGGCACCTATTATTTAGGGTACCCCAAAAGGGACCATAATTTTGACAACTACCCATATGTAAGCTATACTACACCCCCCCCCCCCCCACAAACACTCTTCTAAATCCTGAACCATGAACTGCAACTCATACCCATCTCACAGGTCCCAACAGCCTCAACTTATCGGATTTTGGACGGCCGGTAGCTATCTCCGGGTCCACGTGTTCTGAGATGTCCGACGTGTTTCTTCGCGGAGGATATATGTGAGGATCGTGGATTGGGCAATGCGCAGCTTAGCAAGGCAAACTAAGATTGATAAGCTCCGTGGTTGATGTCCCAAAGTTCTGGAAATCCGGAAAATTTTCGTACGGTGGTACAATAAAAACCTGAACCGTCGGCCGCAAACCGTTGCAAAAAGCCCTAAACTCTGCAAACTTATCCCCTTCACTCCCTAAACCCCATCAGGTGCCCAACATGGAGAAACCAACATGCGGCTCTCTGAATCCTGCCCAATCCCAACAACCCTCAAAAGTTATGCAAACGCAGGTCATGGGTTTGGTGATACGGTTGATGATATAAATCCTGCACTACCTTAAGGATCCTAAACTATGGGAATTATGGTATGTTCCTTATTCTGGGTACATACAGGATTTATATCATCAACCGTATGAGTGCCTACAGACGGCACGTCTCTCTGTTGTTTTTCTCTTCATCCCTACCCCAGGATTCGGGGTTAATGTAGAGGCCTTAATAATTAGAATAGGCTTTTGGGGGTTCCTGATTATAATTAAAGTACAATATACGCCAAACCGCCAAACCCTATTCTAGTTAAGGTCCCCTTTTTCCAGAATCCATGAACACCTTTCAGCGCAGCACCTTGTTGCCCAAGTGGTAGAACATCCCGGCTTGGTCGGATGCACCGTACAGGCCTTGAGACATTCTCCCTCCACCCTGCCCTAAAGCCTAATGTAAGGGCCTTAACAATTAGAATAGGGTTTTGGGGTCCTTCACAGTAAAATTAACATAAGGAAGCCCCCAAATAGCTAAGGTAACTATTAAGGCCCCTAAACCCTAAAGCCTAAACCCTAAACCATATATTATGCCGGCGTTTTAGTCTTCGAGTTTGGGCTCCCCAGGAGTCTGGATTTCGGATTCGTGGCCTCGGGCTCGGGGCCCAAAAAATCGCAATCGTCATATCATCAGCAGGACTCGCGGCTTGGTGGAAGTGACAACTACTTAGTATAGGGATTAGGGTTTAGGTTTAGGGTTTAGGTTTAGGGTTTAGGGTTTAGGCAACTCTTGACAATTTCCCATATATGCGATTTTAGGATCCACGCTGTCCCATAATACGTGCATACATACTTCAAGGATCAGGGACTAAGTATATGCGGCTCTTAGCCAGGCAACTCCTCGTTACAGGTGCTTGGTATGAAACCCACTTGAGGTACCTCTCCACATCCACGCGAACTGCCCGTGAAGCTTCAAGCAATACAGGGCCAGGCTTTCAAAGTAGTACACTAGCACTGGAAGTTCTTGAAGGCCCATACAACAGCCATTCGAAGCTCCATGCCCCACGGCTACGAATCAAAGATGCTACCCTAAACCCTAAACCCTAAACCCTAAACCCTAAACATGGCAGGTAAAGCTCTACGTCCGAAAGACGGAGCTCTCTAAGCTCCAGAGCTGCGTATGGAGTCCAAGCAACTTGTCCCTGTCCCAGAGGGTCCATGTAGCTAAATAGTATATACATTGGCCCTAAAGCACCTATATAGGGGCTACATTAAGGCCAATGTATACACTATTTGGGTACATGGACCCTTAGGGTGTTGCACTCCTAAACCCTATATCCTGAACCCTAAACCTTCGACAGCTTCCGCCAAAATGTGCATCATCTGCAGCACCGGAGACTTCACAGACCAAGGTAGGGGCGTTCATAATTAGACTAGGGTGCTGGGCACCTTTATAGTATAGTTATAACAAGGAGCCCTAAGGAAGAACGTTGGTAATTATCATTTAGGCTTCTATATTCCCAGGCAAATGCCTGAAGCTGCTAGGGCTGCTAGGTTCTCTGCATGCTACTGCACCTTGTAAGACTCAATAGGAAACTTTCTTCCAACACCCGCGAACTGGTGCTGCACATTTGTTGGAACGACGGGCTAGATGAAAGGCGAGAAGGCTGGATAAAAGAGAGGCGGGCCACTGGCGTCCTCCGGAACTTGCGTGCCCCAAGGAAGTCCTGGATGGAACCGAGTTTGCAGAACAAGGGGCCGCCGACATTTCGGTAGGAGGCTGGGGCTGATTTGTTCCGCTAATGTAGTGGTCTTAATAATTAGAACAGGTTTTGGTGGTATTAAGTTATTATACTACAATTGTAATTTGGAACCCCCCCCCAAAAAATCGTATTGGTAATTAAGGCCCCTGTATTACTCTCTGGGCCGTGGCTTCACGTTGCAACTCGCTGGTTCAGAGTGGAAGGCTTGTGATGCTGCTGCAGTCGTTGCTCTTGCTGGTGCTGCCATGTTGAAGCTGAGCTTGATGCTGCCATATTGGTGTTGGTTACGGTGGAGCGGCGTTGCTGCTGCTCATGCTCCTCCTCCTCCTGCTGCTGCTGCTGCTTGCCAAAACTGTTGTGGGTGACATTGTGGTTGTCGTTGTTGCCGTTGCCGTTGTTGCTGAGAATCTTCGCCAAGGTGCTACGCTTGAACACCGTGTCGTTGTGACGGTTCACGATGTGGTAGAGGCTGCGGTTTCAATCGTCGTCGTGGTGGTGGTTGTTGGTGGTGGTGGTGGTGGTTCTGGTGGTGGTGGTGGTGGTGGTGGTGGTGGTGGTGGTGGTGGTTCTGGCGGTGGTGGTGGTTCTGGCGGTGGTGGTGGTTCTGGCGGCGGCGGTGGCGGCGGTGGTGGTGGTGGTGGCGGTGGCGGCGGCGGTGGTGGTGGTGGTGGCGGTGGTGGCGTGGTGGTGGTTGTGCTATTGCTGGCGCCGGTGCTGGCGCTAGTGCTGATCGTGCTGCTTGTCGTATTATGGCATTGCTGTTGGGATTGATGCCGCTGCCCTAAGGGTCCATGTACCCAAATAGTATATACATCGGCCCCAAAGTACCTATATAGGGACTACACTAATGCCAAAGGGCTGCTGATGGTGCTCTTTCTCGGGGGTTGCTAGTTTCGCAGCTGAGGATGATTGCGTTGATAACACTGCTGGTGGTTACAATGATGGTGTTGTTGTTGACGGTGCTTTTGCTGAGGAGTCAGTGCAGTTAAGTTGTATCTGGAGTGCTTGGGTTTGTGGAAGGCATCGCTAACATGTTTGACGTATTGATGTCTCAAAGCTCAGGGCTTCTGATTCACTGCTTAGAAGTGGTTTGTAAGGCTCAGGGGATAGGAATGCTCCCTGAGATGGGGGTTACCGAAAATAGGGGACCCTAATATAGTACCCTAAATAATAGGATCCCTATTATAAGGACCCCAAAATAACGTACCCTAATTTTCTGAAACTCCCAGATGTCACTAACCCTCAGCCTTTACTCCAAGCCTATGCAACACCAAGACTGGGCTTTGAAGTAACCAGGGCGAAAAAAGTATAGACTTTTATTCCATAATGGTTCCTTTAAGGAACCAGGTGCCCAAAAGTATTAAGGTATGGTACTCCAAAGCCCAGAAGAGAAAGGCCGTCTGCTGCCGAAGAGCCCACGAGTTGCAGCACGAATCCTGTAGAACCGCCAAAAACCTAAGCTGCGGCCATTCGTGTTTGTTGGGTTCAGGGTTTAGGGTTTAGGGTTTAGGGGTGAGGTTAAAGACCATTTGGGCTGGGCTTAAGGGCCCCCCTGCATCTGCCTTCGTCCGACCTTTTGAGCCCTTTGAACGGTCCGGTCTAGCAGATCTTACGGTTTATCGCGGCACCTTACTAAGGACTGCTAGTGCTAATGCATGCAAGATAGGATTTTGCGTTGGGATCCCCTATGTTCTGAAACTCCCATAGGCCTTAAACCCTAGGTTTAGGGGTTAGGGTTGCTCAAGCTACCAGAACCAGACTATCCAGTCGTGGGGCACATTAAGTGCAACTCTAAGATGAGGCAACTTGCCACTCAGGGTCCTGGCATCAGTGCGAATAGGACGGTTCGTTCGGTAGGGTACGGCATACCGTGTGAAAAAACTACCAGAAACCTTTCTACATTCATGTTATGCCTGTTGTGCTGGTTGCGAGTTTTACTGTTTGACTGACTGCTTGATTGGTTGATTGATGTGCGGTGGTCTGGGTGCTAAAGTACTACACGCATGTCCTTCTGTTTCAGAAGGGAACCTCCGCTTAAAAACATCACAACACATGAGATCGAAGTGCGCGTGTATAGCATTGCAGCACCTTCACATGCTGACTGGCAGCAGCAGAGTCCAAGAAACAAAACTGCCTATCTAGGCCGCTAAACCCTAAACCCCTAAACCCCTAAACCGACCAACCAACCTGAACCCTCAATTCCAGGCTAAACACCCTGCACCCTAAACCCTAAACCCTGACAAACCCGGGAGTAGCTCCTCAGACTCTTTTCCAATGTTTCCGAGATGCGAGCAGATAGACGCCTTGGCTTCACCGTCACTGCAAAAGTAGAGTGCGTGGAGGTTTTTGCAAGGGTTTTGGGTTTAGGGCCTAGGGTCCCTATACCTAAACCCTGAAGAACCTGCCTTTTTAGGGTTCCTTAATATGAACTCCTGATACAGGTCCTTAAAAAAGGTAGGGTATTTGGGGTTAAGGTAGGGCTTGGGATTTTTTCGGGGTTTAGGGTTGAGGATGTTTGAGTGGAGAGTTGGGGGTTTGCATGCTTGCCTCGTCAGGAGGTGTACTCGGGTCTGTGAATAAGGGCAATCAGTAGAGTGCATAAGGAATTTATAACAAAAGGGAACTCTAAAACGGCTTTTAAAGGCGAGTTCCACGTGAAATAGGGTGGTTAGATGCCCATACACCCGAAGCCAAAAAGCGTCGGCAGTCCCAAAATACCACAAATCTCAAAACTCCTAGGGACTCCCTCTCCCAAAGCTTCCTTGAGGGAAACACGAACTTCACCCTCAAGATGTTTAGATGATTTTCTGAATATGTGAGCACCCAGATAAACACCTAGACCTTGACAGTTAGACTAATGCATGGCAGCCCTTTACACCGGGAGCTGCGGGCACTCCATGAACAGACATTCAACAGAGACTGAAGAGTCCGGGGTGCAATTTCTAGCAGCCCTAAACCCTAAACCCTAAACCAGGCATTACTTGAAGGTCCTTCTTGAGACAGATCATGTCGGAGCCCAGGCTAGGGTTGTAGGGTGCAAGAGAGCAGCAAAAGGGCTGGTTTCGTCTTGGGCAAAGGACCTAGCTGATGTATGCTAGAGCTAGCTTCGCTGGAGCCACAGAGGCCAAAACTTGAAGCTAGAAGAACCTGATCCCTAAACCCTAAACCCTAAACTCTAAACCCTAAACCCTAAACCCTAATTCCGAAACCCTAAACCCGAAA